GGTACTTTAAACTGTATAAATAATACCAAATTTAATTGATCTGCAATAGCCAATCATAGGAAAGTCTGCCTATGAGCTATAACGCGGCTTTAGTCGCGTGACGTAACGCGCATGGCAATCTCATAATTATAAGCAAGAACTTATTTCTTATTTCTTCAATTCCTAATTACAATAAAGAAATTATTTTTTTTAAAAAAAAAAAAATCATTCAATAACTGCGCTCTAGTCTTGAAACGAAGTTTACAAAATAAACTTGAATTGGGAAATTTTCTTATTCGCAAATATTTTGAAATGTCGTATATGTCAGAAGTAGAACGTTCAAAGCTGAAATATCCAGGTAAGTCTGTTACTTTCCTATTTTTAACTGAATAGTGAGAAATAACAGAATAATTAGAAAACAAACTTTTGCTGATTAGATTACTGGGACCGAGAACCTGACACCTGGGGAAGCATAAAAGATTGGGACTTTTACTTGCTTAAGAAACTGGATTCGTCACAGGTTAATAAACGTCTTTCTCATTCAGCCTTAGGTGACGAGCTAAAATGCTTGAAGCAGATGTATGATGAAAACAATCTTATTTATAAGACAGCTTGTCATTGGCAGAACGAATTGAAGGAAAGTATATTTTTTTTGACTTCGCATTTTGTTGTGCCAGCGTACTTAATAGCTAATCTGGCAACCGAGCGTTGAGAAGGTTTTCCCGAGTGCAAAAACTGATGGCTATTACCGAGTGTAGGGGCATAGAAACGTTGTCGAGCGAGCATCGTGGCATTTTGTAAATTCCATCATTATCTCAAAGTGTGTTGTCTAACTATTTATATTCATACAGAAAAGTGATAGTAAATTTTGGGAGAAGAAGGAACAAATCTCATCATTACTTTTGGAGGCTGATGTGGTCGAATTGGAATTGGAAATCGCCAAGGTGAGTGATTTATTCAAGTTTGCCTCTTATACTTCTTAACAACTCCTTGTTCAGTCCTTGGTGATTTCGTTATTACAGAAAAGGGGAAGATATGATGTTCATCAAATAGCAAGACGAGGATATAAAACATATTCAGACATAGAATTTGGTCCAGAAGAACGAGAACAGAAGAGAATTAGAGATGATTGTGTAGATACCACTCCCTATATCAATGTTCATATTCCTCCGTCACGTGTGGTTATTCTTCCAGAAAAATCTATAAATCTCAGCCGGAATTGATATGTCAGAATTCGAGAAGTACCACTTCTGCAATTCCAGCATCAGAGGCCAAGCAAAACCATACTTCCGAAAATAATAAAGACCTTGATGAAATGCTTAAATTCGATTTAAAAAGGATTGAGAAGCAGTTGCAAAGTTCACTCACAATTGAGGTATGACACTTCAAAATTCTGATTCGTTATTTGCATTTCTCTCAAATTTGGAAAGTTGGCAACATAAATGTAACAAAAAGATTCCGTCAGTATCAGTTTGACGTGATTAAGAAGGCGAAAAATGAAAGTTTGACATATAAGGATGTTACTGAAATCTTGTAAGTATTTTGAAATATATAACATTTAATATTCATATTATGAATATATGCAGTATGTATATTGATCATCTTTTTTTTTAGAGCTTTGTCATCAGTAATGTTACTTTGTCCATCATGCCCGTATCCTATATTCACGAATCGAGAATGGAAAGAGATAACTAGAGCTAATCCTTATACCATAAAAGAACCACCACTTCCACCAGAGATTTCGTCATCTCTTCATAATACAGCTAGTAGATATTTATATGGTGAAGACGTATTTATGGATCGTGGAGAATCGGAGTTGGGTAAGAAGGTCGCGCTAATGTTTAACAACTTGTAAGTTTATCTCATTCTATAATGTATTTATCATCCATTAATTTGATATTCACATAAATCCTTTTAATATATTACAGATATGCTTGTATTCCAGAGATTGCTCCCTCAAAATTATCTGAGGAAGAACACATTGATATGTTTGTTTATCCAATAACTCGTTCATTGTTTCGTGGTCCTGAAAAAGAATACGAACTTAGACTAAATCGTGCCGTGCAGGCTCAAAAAAAGACCGATCTTTCTTGCGTAGTTGATGATATAACAATTTTGAACTCGGAATTCAAACCTTTAGGGTGTTATCCAAGGCAACGGTATGAAGAAAAATTGAAAGCACAATTACGGGGCAGAAAATCAATTAACCAGCAACTGCAAAAGAAGGATGGTCCGGGTGAATCTGCTATTTTCACTAATTTAGGTACGTTGTAATTGCAATAAATTCATGGACTTATGAAGTGTATTAACTTATGCTTTTGCAATAACAAGGTAATTTGATGGAATCGTATTTCATGGATCTGAAGTATGATGGAATCTATCGTTCTTGGCATTTTCTCACAACTCGACTGGTTGTAGACAAAACAACAATCCCACAATGTGATTTTGCAATAAGCCATATGATTGCTTTAGAGGTACTTATAATGAGATATTTCTTGAAGCTTATGATGAGACATTTTACTCATAACTTTATTTTCTTTGCAATGATAGGAACAAGTCAGCAAAATTTCGGAAAACTACAAATATCGAGAGCACCAAAGTAGTCAAACTATGCTACCTATACAGAAATCATTCATGCGTGATCTTCCGGATTCTCCACAA